AAAGTTTTGAAAGGAATAGTGTAGATGGGAGATCAAGTCTCAAATTCAGCTCCTGAGAACAGGGCAGAGACATGGGAAAAAGTGATTGAAGGTGAAGAAGTAATTGGTAGCCTGTGTGTGTATAATCAACTTTGTTGACTATTACCATCATGACCCACATTCCAGAGGTGTTATCTATCCCACTAAAGTCAGTGATTCTTTAAGTCAACTAAAACCAAGTAACTAAGAGCAGATAAAGCAGGTTAAGTCTAGAGCATTTCCTTGGGGTTTCTCTCAATTTCAAGAATAATGGTTTTACTGAACTTACTCAAAGAAGGAAAGAGATTCAGGAAAGGATGAAAGAGAAACACAGCACAGAGTGAGTAGATGCTGAGGTTTTCTGATGTAAATTATAACCAAAGGACCACCAAGAACAGGAAGTCAAATGCTTTAGTCAATGGGGTTACCTACTGTGACATACTCTCCAACTGATACTCAAATTTTTATTTTACCATAAAAGTTTATTATATCTACACTTTCATGGATGGCATTTTGGAAAAGAAGAACAAGGTAAAGTTCAGCAAGGTAACAAGATTCCGGCAAGGGAGAGTGTGCACAGGAGGTAAGAGTCAATGGAGAAAGTGACATCAGCAGAAATAGCATAGTAAGCAACCAGAAGCCCTGCTGCTCCTCCTCCAAAACAGAAAAACTATGCATAAACTGTCAGAACCAGCTTTTTCAGAATTCTGAGATATAGTCAAAGGTTCATAGCATCCAAGCAAATAGTGAATAAAGGAAAAATAAGCCTTCAATGAAGGAAAAGTTAGGAAAATGTTTTGCCATTTCTACTTGTCCTTGCCCCACTTCCTTCTTGATTGGCAGTGCTCTTGAAGGATGGCAGTGAACATTCCCAGTAAGGGACCCTGGTCCCTAGCTGTGAAAGAGGCAGAGAAGATATTTTTCAAAAGAAATTGTGTTTTTTCCAACCTGTCTGGAGCTCCCTTAAGGATCTGACCTGAGGCACTTGTCTTGATTTCCTCTAACTCAAAACTGGGAGCAGAAAAGCAGCAGGTGTTTCTCAAAAGTGTGATAAGGCAAAAGGACAATGTCAGCCCTGTAGGGCAGAAGATTGCAGTAGAGGCATGCAGTAGAACACCAAGCATGGGGAGGAGACAGGAAGAGAATTTCAATGGGACATTAGGGCATTCAAATATCTGTGTAGATTGAAGAATTTAGGAAGCCTCATCTAGGCTCTGCAGGACACATTCGTTCTAAATGACCTGAAAGAATACTAAGATTGTACTCTGGATGGTCTATTTACTACATTATAATAATCAAAATGTCCAGGTTTCACCTAAAGTTGTGAAATATGCAAAAATAAGAGAAAATTATGTCTCATTCACAGAATAAATGAACAGAAGTTGTCCCTGTAGAAGCACAAAATCAGGACTTACTACACAAAGATTTTCAGTTGACTGTCTTTTAACCACATTATTAAGTTATAATTGGCATACAATAATCCATCCATACTTAATACATATAACTCAATGAGCTTGGAAATAAATATGTATTCATGAAAATGCTACAGCAACATATGCCAAAAATATGTCCCTCATTTCCAAATTTTTTCTGTTTTATTTATTAATATCTGTATTTGTGTATGTGTATGATTAGAACTCTTAAAAGATCTTCTTAAAAATTTAAGCATATACCTAAGCAAAATAAACTAGGATCACAAAATCAAAGGTCATATGTTTTCTGTCCTATGTGGAAGCTAGATCTGTAAGTTAAATGTGAACATAAATATATATATAATCATATATATACATATATGTAGTGAGAGAGAGAACAAATTGTACTAGTGAGTTTGTGTGAGGGAGCTATGGGAGGTGGGAAAGAGAAAGAAAATGTTAGAAAATAAAAAATATTGAAACAACCCTTCTATATATGATATAATGTAATGCATTGTAAGCTCTTGAATAATACGGGAGCAAGGTGATAAAGAGTAGGTAATGGGTGAGGGTTAATATGATTAAAGCCTAAATTACCAAGGCAAAACTGCCTTGGACTATCAATACATAGTTTTTTTTTTTTTTTAATAAAGGACAAGAGAGCAAAACAGACCTTTTCTGGGAGTGGGTACCAGAAGGAGGGAGGAGGGCAGAAGGAAAGGGTGAACAAGGATGAATATGATGGATGTATTTTGTATTCACATATGAAAATATAAGAATGAAACCTGTCAGTAAGAAGGAGAGAAGGGAGAACGATGGAGCTGGTGAATCTCACCAAGATATATGTAAATATCACAATGTACCCTCCTGTATGACTATTATCTGCTAATAAAAATAAATAAAGAGCATCCTATTATTTAAATTTTTGAGCATATAACAGTGTTATTAAGATACTATGCTATAAAGTATGCATCTTGCATAACTGAAACTTTATGCCCTGTGATTAGTACTTACCTATTTCTTCCCCAGTTCTTGGCAACCACAATTCTCTGCTTCTATGAGACTGACATTTTAGATCCTTAATAGAAGTGATATCGTGTATAATTTGTCCTTCTATGTCTGGCTTATTTCACCTAGATTTATGTCCTCCATCCATGTTGTCATAAATGGCAGCATTTCCTTCTTTTTAAGGGCAAATAATATTCCATTGCATGTACATATCACATTTTCTTGATTCATTTATTGATATATGCAGGTTTCTTCCATGTCTTGGCTGTTGCGAATAATGCTGCAGTGAACATGGTGGTGCATATTCAAGATCCTGGTTTCCACTAATTTGGAAATAGGATTGCTAAATCACATGATCCATTTCTAATTTTTTGAGGAACCTCCATATTGTTTCCCATCGTGGCTGCACAACATATTTCCCCAACTCCACATCTTCATCAACATTTGTGATGTTTTGTTGTTTTGATAATAGCCATCCTAAGTGGTACATAGTTTGTGATTTACCTGGTGATTACTGATGGTGAGCACCTTTTCATTTATCTGTTGGTCATTTTCTTTTTTTTCACCTCCAAGATGTTTGGGTTTTTGTTTTTATTTTTTAACAAAGAAATGAAACATTTCATTATCAATGTTTATAATGTTTTAAATTACATAGTACTAAATACTACTTTTGCTATCTTTTTTCATTTTCTATATGGTATATTTGTAACCCACAGAGAGTTTTTAGTGGTTTTTTTGGGGGGGTGGGGAGACTTTTTAAAATAAATTTTTATTAGGAAATATTCATTATACAGGGGGGATTCATAGCGACAGTTGTGACTAGACTTATATTATACATTATTTACATTGCCCTCATCATCTCTCTCCCTCAACCCCCTCTCCACCCCACTTAAAGCAATTACAAGAGGTTTCCTAGTTCAGTTTGTTGGTCATTTTCATGTCTGCTTTGTGGAAATGTCTATTCAGCTATTTTGAAATCAGGTGTGTGTTTTTTCTGATTGAGTTGAATGAGTTCCTTATATTTTTTGGATATTTACCCTTTATCAGATATAAAGCCAAATATTTGACTTACAAATATTTTCTGTATGTTGCAAATCCCTTCCTGTGGAAAGGATTTTCAGTACCACTTCTATTTTTATGTTTTGCTGTTTGTGCTTTTGTGGTGATGTTCATGAAGTGACTGCCAAGACCATTGTATGACTGTGTATTGTTCTGGACAGTTTCTATTGATAGGTCTTTTAAGTTTGCCCCAATCTTTTCTTCTAGTGTGTGGTGGTGTTTTTCAGTTGTTTTTTTTTTTTAATGGTGCTACCTGTGAAGACCACAATGGGTAGGAACTGAGGGGGTCTAAAATTCTTCCAGTGGCAAGGTTTCAGGTATGGTTGTTAGTTCTTAGGATCCAAATAGCTTATTCTATTCAGGAAAAAAGACGGTTTTATATTGTTTACTTCTTTTGAAGCTTGTCCATATTTCCCCTCAGTGTCTTCCAGGGAAATCATCATTATAGTAGTTTGTTAATGCCATAATAATAAAACCAGCACAAACTCTCATTGGTGTAAAACTTTATGTAGTATTTGAGTCTGTATGTTGGCTGGGGCCCAGCTGATCTATGATAGGCTTGGCTAGGATAGTCTTCTCTTCATGTATTGCTGGAATGACCATGCTCTTATAGCTATGGCAAAGAAACACAAGGGCAAACCCAGTGGTACAGATACTTTCCCAGGATCTCTTGTGTCACAGTGACTTCCTATTGGCTAAAGCAAGTCACATAGCCAGCCCAGTGTCAAAATACAGGGGATACACTTATCTCCAGAGAGAGGCACAGCAAAGGATTGGAAGGCAGAAAAATTGGCTCTGTATACAATGTATCACAATTATCATCACATTAGCATTTATTAGGACCCGAAATGTCTACATGTGTTTTCTCACATATTTTTGCATTTGATCCTCACAATAGATTTGTAAGACCACTATTTTTTATTTCCACATTGTATAAAATAAGAAACAATATCACTTACACATTATGTAGTTGGAAAAAATGAGACCTGTTGAAACTATTCCAGGAATAGGGGGGAGGGGATAAAGGAGAATGATGGAGGGGGTGAATTCAACTATGATATATTGTAAAAATTTTGTAAATGTCACAACACAGTACAACAGTAATAAATTCATTTATTAAGTTAAATAAAAAGAAAGAGGTAAAGCCACTTACTCAAGATCACATAGCTAGTTAGCAGTAGAAGGGGGACTTTCTGGTCTGGTGGCGTGGCTCAAGGGGTATATCATTTGCCTAGCAAGCTAGAGACCCTGAGGTCAGTCCTTGGTACACACACAAAAAAATAAGGTGGGGGGGGGACTTTCTAATGATGCCCTGAAAAAGGGAAAAGTGAATGCCTGAAATCCTAGCTACTGTGGAGGATGAGGCATGAGTTTTTGGAATTAAAGGGCTCCCTAGATTATATAGTGACAGTCCATATCAAAAGAAGGCGGGGTGTGACTAGGGAGTGTTGAGCTTTATCTCTCTTCTGTTATAGTTGATCACCTTTTTTCCTTTGTTTATAGGGTGAAAGTGAAAACCACAGCAAAGGCAAGGTGACAAACAAACCGGAGGTAAAGCTCTATAACTGGGTATGGGGGTTGAGAGAGTCTAGGATAGGAGTAAAGTAGAGTTTTACTCTACACTGCTTAGAGTAAAAGAGGAGGGTCACAAAAAATAATTACAACTTCATTATAAATGTCAAGGAAAAGATCAAATAAAATAAAAAGCCCACAATCACAAAGAGGTAGCAGCAGGTAGAGAGTGAATCACATTTGGAGGATGACTGGGCTTCTATCCTAATCACTGTAAGCACTTTTGACTATGTGATCCCAGGGTACATGAATATACTTATTTATAAATAATGAGTACACTTCTATATAAATACATCTTAGAAACAAAATTTTAAGCATAGTATTTTCATAATTTGATCATTAATCTTCATGGGATAATGTCATTAGTCACATGTCATTACTTCTGAAATTTTTCATTTGATTTTTAACAGACTATTAGCTGGAAAAGACACATCACAATAAGAAGCACACGTAATGAATATATAGCAAGAGGCTCATCATTAACAACAGAGCAAGGTGGAAACACAGACGTATTGCTGGTGAGAGAAGAACTGGCTGAGCATCATTTATTCACTCAACATGAAAACCTGGGGTTTGCTGGGCATGGTGACTCATGCCTGTAATCCCAGCTTTTGGGAGGCTGACTCAGGAATATCTTGAGTTCAAGGTCAGCCTGGACTACATAGGGAGACCCTGACATAAAAACAAACTACAGCAAAAAACCTAGGGTCCACTTTCAACCCCACCATGGATTAGATGGTTGAATCCCGCTGTTTTACCTTGTTCAGGTCTCTTTCTCATGTTCCACTCTAGTTGCCTCTTCCTCCCCAGGTTCTTTTTTAATTTTTTTGTGGTACTGGCATTTGAACCAGGGCCTCATGTTTGCTCCTTAGTTTCTGTACTACTTGAGCTGCACCCTCAGCCCTTTTTTACTTTGGTTATTTTTCAGATAGCCTTGAATTTTTTTCCTGGGGCCAAACTCAGACCACAATCCTCCTACTGTACCTCCCACATAGCTGGGACTACAAGTGCAAGCCAACACATGTGCCTCATTGATTGAAATGGGGTCTTTCAAGTTTTTTACCTGGGCTGGCCTTGAACTGCAATTCTCCTGATCTCTGTCTCCTGTGGAGCTGGGATTGGGAGTGAGCCACCACACCCAGCCTTCCCCCAGGTTCTTGATCACTGACCATCCATTTGAGGCACACTCAATGCTGTACACTCCACGTCAGGACTGCTCACTATGCTCCAAATACGTTCTGTACTGTCCCTCCTGCTAGCACCTCTGACAGTTCCACCTATCCTTCCTGGCCTTGCTCAGATGTTACTACCTCTTATGTGACCTAGAAAGACCATCTCCCCCACCCTGTTTCTCAAGAGCACTGTGTTGTGTTTGTACCATAGTTATATTGCTTACCTCCATCTGCCTGTATCCTGCTAACATGTGTGTTACTATCTTATTGCTTAGATAGCAACTCCTTAAGAGACAAAGGCCATGTCATGCCCACCTTACCAAGATTTTGCATATAGTAGGAATTCAAGAAATGATTTTGCATTTAATAGTAGAATTAATAAATTTCATGCATCAAATTCATTCCATGAAACTGTAATCAGCACCAAGTTTGATACTCTTTTTAGCATATGTGCTGAGACTCATCAATTCCTTAAAGGCAGAATTTTATGTCAGCCTTAATAATAATAACAGCTCCCACTAATTGCAAGTCATTACATACATATTACTTCTAATCCTTATAATAAAACTATAAAAATGGGGGAGATTATTACCCTCTTCTTACAGATGAGTTCATTCATGTGTGCCCACATACCTGTACTTACCCAACACTGGGACTAGAAACCAGGCTTGTCTGGTTCTTAAAACCACCAAACCACACCATCCTCAACTGTACTGTGGGGTGGGTCCATTTTGTTCTTTTCCTTCATTTACTCATTTCAAAAAGAAGCCTTTAGTTTGTTATTGTTTATTCTCTGCTTTACAGTTCACTTCAACATCTGATGCATCCCAAGAGAAGCTGGTGGAGGAGAAGTGCTTACTGAAAAGATATACACATCGCTCCTGCATTAAAGTCTTCTGCCAACCATGGCAGAAGTGTATTGATGGAACCTGTGTTTGTAAACTCCCTTATCAGTGCCCAAAGAATGGCACCTCAGTGTGCTCAACTAATGGAAAAAGCTACCCGACTTACTGTCATCAAAAGAGTTTTGAATGTCTTCATCCAGAGGCCAAGTTTTTACATGGGGGAAAATGTACAGGTGAAGGTAGGAAAAGCCTAGCTGTCAAGTTACTATTCTGTGACAGAAGAGGATAATTGCATCTCATCCTTTCTATTAGAAAATACTTTTGCTATGAAATGTTCTGATGACAACTCAAAATTCTTAAGACCCTCAGTAGTAAGTAAGATGATACCTAAAGAAATCGGGGTCACCATAATCCAGTCATACCTTGAATCCAGAGCACATGGGTTTGTGGTGCTGCTCTCTGCTGACCAGGCTTTTAGAGTTGTCCCCACTCTCACTTCTACTTGGTTAAAGGGATGATTCCAGAGCCACTCAACTAGTTCGGACCCTGATGAAAAATTCTTTATGAGATTGGTACTTATTCTAGTCGGGCCTCAGCTTCCCCTGTGGACCTCCAGCCCTCCAAATTTCTTTCAGCATCTGTTCCCTCAGCTCTATCCCTTTTCCCCAGGCCCAATTCCATGGTCCCTGACTATCCAAGGGGAGCTTGAGACAGTGCTGACTTTGGACCCACAGCAGGCCAACCAACTTGGCCCATGAGGCCAGGGAGTTGTCCACACTCCATCCAGGAGCTCAGTCTCACGAGAGGCTGGCAGTCTGACATGTGGTGAAGATTACAAATTGCACTGTCACATTTAGTTTTGAGCTTCTCCTAATCCCACCTCGGTGACTGAAATGCTGTGTGACCTCCCTAGACCCCAGTTCCTTCTTCTATAAAATGTGACTAATACAAGTTCCTAAATTGCAGGAGTTTAGAGATTAAATTAAATGATGTGTGGAAAACTCTTTGCACGGTGCTTGCACACAGAAAGTGCTGCTTTAATTTTAGCTATCATAGCAAAACTCAGGCTCTTTGTCTTCTGATATCAAAGACACTTCTGAACTTATTGAGGGATGCTTAAAACAACCTTTTTCAAGGTACTACAATACACACCAGCTCACAGTAATGTATAATTTTGTGGTGCTGAGTTAATATGGAGAGGTACTGTGGAAAAGGCGGAGCAAACTTCTTTGTATAAGAGGAGGAAGGTGACAGTTGAGGCTATTTTGTCAGATTTTTCTTCTCTTGGGCGTTAAATGCTTTAAATTTATGAGAATACATAAACTCTTTCTGGCTTATTTCAAGGAGTATGGATTTAGGGATAAGAGCAATAAAGCAAGTTCTAACTCCTGGCTTAACCCCCAGGCTAGTAACAGCTTCTCCTAGTCAGGTTCCTCATGTGTGAAAATGGGGATGAGTATAGGCTTAATTTTCATAGGATTGATGTGAGGGGTTAGCTCAGACATTAACACATAACAAATACTCATAATAAACAGTTGTTATTATTTGTGAAAATCTTTATGGTGTTCAATGTTACCTTGAAATTAGGCGTTTTACAAAAGGCCTTTATATTGAAAGTGAATACCTAAGAATTGTTTATCCTTTTGGTTTTTCATTTTAGGAAAATTTAGTGTTTCCTTAAATTATGGAAATACTGATTCAGAGGGAATTGTTGAAGTAAAACTTGTGGACCAGGATAATAAAATGTTCATATGTAAAAGCAGCTGGGGCATCACGGAGGCCAACGTGGCCTGTGTTGAACTTGGATTTCAACAGTGAGTGCTGATACCAGGGGGTTCTGATTTCATTGTTCCAGCTGTTTGCTTTTTGATTACCTAATCTTTCCAGGCCTCCTTTCCTCATCTGTAATCTGAGGATCACTTATTAACTACACACCTCATAGCACTGTTACAGGATCAGCTGTGCTCATGGTTGCTTAGTACTGAGCAACTGTAATTTTTTTAAATACCTGGACTGAATCCTTTGATGACTTGAGTCTTAAACACACTCATTACTGTCTATCTCTACTCTAGAATTGTGTCCATTTTCACATCTAATATTGCTTATTTATGCTCTTTCTCTTTTATCCTTGAATACCTTAGAAAGATTTGGTTATTAGTCTTTTTGATTTTTTATATTTGTAAATGGTCCCTTATTTCTTTATTTTCTATTTCATTAATCTTCACCATCATTTATTTATTTATTTATTTATTTATTGACTGTACTGCCAAGCAAGCACTCTACCACTTGAGCTATGCCCCCCATCCTTTTTTACTTTAGTTGTTTTTCAGATAGGGTCTCCCATTTTTGTCTCGGGCCTGCCTGGGACCTCCTGGGATTACAGGCATGTACCACTCAGATCTTCACTGCAATCTTTGGCCCTCCCTTTTTTTTTCTGTATTGTATTTTTTCTAATTTCTTGAGTTGAATGCTTAACTCAACCATTTTCAATTTTTCTTTAAAGGTTTAAATGTAGACATTTAAAGTTTAAATTTTCCTCTGATAATGCTTTATCTGCATGCTGTAAGTCTCCTTAAGTGATATTTTATTTACTATTCAATTAAAAATATCTTCTAATTTTCAATACAATTTCTTTTTTCAATCCATATGCAATTTAGAGGTTTCTTTTTAACTTCTCAAATGAACAGGTCAGTTTAACCTTGAAAACATTTTTTTCCTTTTTTTGGAAGTACTGGGGTTTGAACACAGGGCTTCGCACTTGCTACCAGGTACTCTACTGCTTGATCCACTCCGCCAGCCCTTTGATTAACCTTTTGTTATTGATGTCCTATGTAATTGTATTGTGGTCAAAAAAACCCCCTGTATGATGAGAACTTTTAAGATACTTGTTGAGATTTGCTTTGTGCTGGGTATAAATTCTTAATGTGCAGAGTAAAATAATATTATCCATTAGAATAGGCAAGGTCGTTATTCTTCAGATATTATTCAGATATTTTTCTATTTCTTTACTTTCAGTCATTCTGTATTCCATAAGTGTCTTCTGTTTTTTCCTTCCTTCTTTTTTCTTTTTCGGTTTTTTGGGCCTCACTATGTAGCCCATGTTGGCCTGGCACTTGAAATCCTCCTGCCTCAGTCTCCCAAGTGTTGGGATTACAGGTGTAATCTGGGTGGTGTGTTCTTAATAAAGAACATAGACCTAGATTTTTTTTTTAAGTCCAATATGACAATCACTGTTAATTAAAGAGTTTAACCTATTTTACATTATTTATAGTACTTACATTGTTGACTTTATTTTTCTTACGTTATTTTAGGTTTATTTACCTGCTTTTTGTGCTTTTGTGTTTTTTTTCTTGTTAGATTAGTAAATATTTTTTAAAACCTTCCCCTTTGCTTATGCTACTTGGTTTTGAAATTCTATAATTTTGTTTCTTTAGTGCTTATCTTTGACTTTGTGTTATAAATCCTCGACTTGTAAGTACTCACCTTCCTCAGGAATAATAGAAGAAATGTCATTACCCCATCAAGTTTCCAATATATAATTGAACCTTATTTTGATATACCCCCAAAGCTAATTACTGTCACTATACACTAAACAATCGTGATTACTGTTGTTTACTTAGTGCTCACTCAGATTTACTTCATGCTTGCCAGCTCTTGGTTTGTTCCTTCTTGCATCTCACTTTTTCACTCCAGATTTAGTTTTCCTTCCTGAACCACATCTGCCTATAGTTCATAGTGAGGGTCTCTTATCATTAAATTGAAGCTATAATATATTTCTGATTTTCAACAGTTGGTGACTTACAACCTATGGTTTCAACCTAATGGTAAACTCTCTTAGTTTTGAATCACTCAGTATTTTTCTCTTACCATATTTTTCATAAATTCATGGGCAGTCTTCTCTGATTTCAAGCTGTAGATATTCCCTTGCTTCTTTAAGAGTTCATTAAGGACATTTATTATAACTTAAATAGTATTTTTAAGTTGTGAGGTTTTTCATATTATTTACCTTTCAGATTGTTCTCGTGGAACAACTCCATGACTACTGTTATCTTCATTATGGAGCCAAAACAACTAGAAATACCTACTTTGTTCTCTTTTTCGCTTTTCATTCCAAGTAGTCTAATACTTATATCATCATTCATCTTTTATTTCTGTTTCCATTTGTCTGATGAATCTTAACTTTTTATTTTTATCCTATATTCCTTATTTACTTCTAAAGAGAAACAAGGAGCAGTTGAATGTCATGGAGAATAGTTCATTGTAAGTCATCGTCTCTAGGATATTGGGTAATTGAGGGGCTTCTTTGTACAAATTCTGAGCAAACTGAGCAATGGCACAGAGATGCTAAAATATCACCTTACTACTACCAAGGCTGAATTTTGAGGGGGGGGAGAGGGAGGGGGCAGAGTGGGTGGTAAGGGAGGGGGTGGGGCAGGGGGGAGAAACGAACCAAGCCTTGTATGCACATATGAATAATAAAAGAAAAATGAAAAAAAAAGAAAATGTAGCTTAGTGTAAAGGCAAAACAACTAATGCTAAACCAACTTCATCTCCAAAATCTTAAGCAATAATAGAACCAATCTGGTAAGCCTTCCAGCATGGAGTAGGAGGAGAGATTCCCAGAAGGAAGAGGTGGAAAATCTGAGCTGACCATATCTGATTTATATTTCTGAAATCTTCTGTTCCCTTTCCTGGAGAGAAAATCAATTGAAGGATAGGGAGAAGACAGGAATGATACATCTCAGATTAGAAGAAAACATCAGGCATAAGAAAGAAGCATTCTTCCTTAATGAGAACTAAGAAGCTGGTGCCAGTGGCTCACGCCTATAATCCTAGCTACACAGGAAGCAGAGATCAGGAGGATGGCTGTTTGAAGCCAGAGCAGGCAGATAGTTCAAGAGACCTTACCTGGAAAACACTCAACCCACACACAAAAAACACAGAACTGGTGGAGTGGTTCAAGTGTTAGAGTGTCTGCCTAGCAAACAGAGAGGTCCTGAGTTCAAACTCCAGTACCATAAAAAAAAAAGAAAGAAAGAAGTGGAGTATAGGAACCAGTATTTGTTGAATGCTCACCATGTTTTGAACCCTGTCTAGCTAAAGTTAACTATTTTAATCAATTTGATTAAAATCAGTCTGAGGTACCTCTATTCCCTTTTACAAGCGAAGGTAGTAAGATTCAGAGAATGTGTGCCCAATCTTTAACTCATGCTTACAAGATGAGAGGAAATTGCTACAGGCCCTTACCTCCTACACCAGGGCTAGAAACACAATGTACTAACTGTTCTGCCGCCATGTCTCATTTATTCAACATGCAGAGGTGCTCTTCACTCTCACAGAAGATTTCATTTGCCTGAAGATCTACGCATGAATTCTATGGGATGTCTGCACGTGGAATGTCGGGGAATAGAGACCAGTCTGGCTGAGTGTACTTTTACCAAGACAATGACTAAGAGCTACCTGGACTTAGCCAGTGTGGTGTGTTCTACAGAGAATACAGGTTGGCGGATTACTTACCCCACGTTTTCCCTTCCTTCAAGGTCGTTTATTTCATACCAGGCCTGTGTAAACGACAGTTGTACCCAGCTGTCAGTCAAGGAGGCAATGTTACGGACTCTCATGTTTCAGGCTTCAGAGCCTAAATTGGTGCTTTCCCCCTCTTACACCTTTTTTGCCACTCAAATATTATTTCTATTTTTTCGATTTCCTATGTAGGAAGCAAAATTGCCTGAGTTCTCTTTGCTTCCTCGAACATCAGGATTAAAGTTAATATAGCAAACACAAGTCAATCAAGCATGAGGAAAAGCTTCAGCATATCCTTCACGCATTCCAGCTTATAAACATTCCTCTAAAATATTTAGGTAACCATGTAAGTTCCTCTGTTTCCTGGCAGTCGCTGCCACTTTGCTCCTCCATCCTGACACGAATGATATGAGCCAAATGTGTGGTGCTAGAGACCAAAGCCATATCCTTTCTCTAAGAAGAGTCACCACCGACATGGACACTGCCCATGTGCAGCCTGGGAGTGGAGTTGGGGTTAGTGTAGTAGCAGGGGATGAAAAGGGAGCATCAGTGTTTGCTTTTGTCAGCGATAATGCTCCTGGTTCTAGTTCCTAACACCCCACCACCACCACACATACACCACATTCCTATGTCTACACTAGTTCTCAAAGGACGTCTGGAAGATGGCTTTGGCATTTTTGTCCTTACTAGCCATACTATGTTGATTCTACCAGTAGTTTTTTTTTTTATATCATTTCTTGAAGTCTGATTTTTATCTTAATAGCCTCTCATCCCAAAAATGTGATAAAGATGTTACCACAACTGCATCAATAAATTTCACAAAGATAATTCCTACTTTACAGATTCCCTAACACATCAGTCCTTTCAGTGTGTGAATGGGAAATACATTCCTCAGAAGAAAGCTTGTGATGGTGTAAATGACTGTGGAGACCAAAGCGATGAGCTCTGCTGTAAAGGTAGAGAGAAAATGGCTTCTAAATCCACGCACCCCCCCCATTCATTCGCCTGACTAAAAAATGAGAAAGCAGTTTTATTGTTGAATTTAAGGGTCTACTTCAATTTTTTTTAAACTAATTTTATTTATTTTTTATGGTGCTGGAGATTGAGTCCAGGGCCTAATCACATGCTAAATAGGCATGCTACCACAGAGCTACACTCCCAGCCCTTTCCTCATTCAGTTTTGATTAGTGGAAGAAACCTCTCCTATTTGTGTTTGCACAGGGTGCCACGGTAAAAGTTTCTTTTGTAAATCGGGTGTTTGCATTCCAAGCCAGTATAAATGCAATGGTGAGGTGGACTGCATTACAGGAGAAGATGAGGTCGGTTGCGAAGGTAATCTCAAGTTTTGTGGTGACTTTTTTCATTATGGATCCATAGACTCTGAAACTTTTCTTTAGGCAAATTATAATCTTTTTGTGTCTGTTTCTGGGGTACTATAAGGATTGAACCTGCAGCCTCATGCTGACTAGGCAAGTACTTTATCAACCTGGAATTATAATCTGAAGTGACCATAGGTGAGAGTAGCAACGAGAATATTACTGAGTGGGCATTTGATGATCTTCATCTTCCTTATTGACTCGGTATTTCAGAACTTCTTATTTCTTTAAAGAAGATTCTCATGTATACAAAAAAGACAGACTACTAGCATGATTCCCTATGAACCCAATCTTTCCAGCTACAAGTTATTGATATTTTACTAATTTGCTCATCTCTCTTTCAGCCTGTTTCTTTGTTTATCTATTGCTTGTTGTTTGTCGTAGTATTTAAAAACAAATGTCAGCTATCATGTCACTTAACATATATACATCTCTAAAGATAAAAACATGATACATATAAAACCATTCTCTCATAAGTGTATCTACAGACAGTGATATTCCCTAACATCATTTAACAGCAGCCATGTTCAAATTTTCCTATCTCAAAAATGTCTCTCTCAAAGGAAGTAAAGAAGGTGAATATGCTTGATGTACTTTCTATACAAGAATGAATATAGAATTTTTAAACCTGTTGAAATCACTATAAGAAGGAGACTAAGGTAGAAAGGAGAAAAATGGAGATGAACAAATCCCAGTTATAATACGTAGATACATGGAAATATCACAGTGAAACTCCCTGTATAGCTTTCTTAAACAATCAAAAGTGTCTCTTCAAAACCAGAGAACAGGAAGGTGACACAGGTCCTGTCTGGGGGTTGGTACCAGTGGGAGGGGGAGGACATAAGGAAAGGATGTAGGAGTACTCATGTATGAAAATGGAACAATGAGACCTGCTGAAACTATTCCAGGAGTGGGGGGAGTAGTGATAAAGGAGAATGATGGAGGGGGTGAATTCAACTATGATATATTATAAGAACTTTTATAAATGTCACAATATACCCCCAGTACAGCAATAATATGATAATAAAATTTTTTTCAAAAAATTGTTCTTCAGGGTTCTGAAGAACGGGAGTATTACATGTGATCACTAAGTTTTAAAAGTTTCTTTTAAGTTACCTTCCCTATCGTCTCACCCCAATGTTTAATTTTTTTAGAGAAACTGAGCCATCTGCCTATAAGATGTTCCTTATTCTAGATTTATAGAGTTGTTTAGACACAAGATTCACTATTGTAGGTATAAAGTTTCGATGAGTCTTTCGGTGTGCTTCCCGTTTCATAGGCTGTCTTCTTGTCTGATTGTCTCACTTCTAGTGATGCTAGGTCTGATTCCTGGGTAACTCTGATGTCTTCACTAATAAGCTTCCCACAATCTTTCACCTACTAGTTTTAGAAGACTTTGTAATTGTTGCTTGCATCCATTTTGTCAGTAGGGCTTATAAAATATCAGTTTATAATTTTATCATTGTATCTACACTTATTGAATGAAATTATGTAGGGAAAAACTTTCATTCATCAACTATTTTGTTTCCATGCAATGTTATTCATAGTAGAAAGGCAAAATAATGCTTAATTCTTCCCAAGTCTCAAAGCAAAGAGTTGGTGCTCTGGACAATCCCTAATGATAATATATATATAAATTCATTCCCTACTTAGTGAATATGTATTAAGTTCCGATGACATGTGACAGCTCCTGTTCTAGGTACTAGTGTCACAATACTGAACAACATGTAAAAACCCTCATCCCTTCATGGATCTTACATTGCAATAGTGAAAGAAAGACAATATATAAGAGAAACAAGTAAAATAAAAAAGTGCCAAGGAGGAAAATGAAATAAGGAAGGAAGATATAAACTGTCAAGGGGTAAATTTTGAGATTTTAGTAAGGTGGCTTGGAAAGGACCCCCTGAGATTTGCTTTAGGTAAGAAGCTGAAGGATTTGATGAAGCCAGCCATGCAAATCTGCAGAAGCCTGTCCCAGGCAGAGCAACAGCACAGTGCAGTGTTCCCAAGTCAGGGGCTTTCCTACTGTGTTTGAGGAACAAACAGTGAGGAGACTAGTGTGACAGGTGGAACCAGTGATGTAAGTGAGGCTTAAGAGACAAACGGAATTAAAAGTCAAAGTAAGATGGTACACTGGTTTTATTTTAACTTTTGGTAGCTACTAATTTTAAGCTGTTATACTGTTTCTGAATTTTTGATGGTTTGTGTATATTTTATTCAAATAAAAATGATCTCCTTGCTATAGTCAGTTTTTTCTTTTGTTTTTAGGAACCAGACATCCTACAGTTAAAGGTAAATCTATTTTTATGATCGAAAGCTTATTTTCTAAAAATAAGATGTTCCAATTTGTATGACGTATGTATAGTAATGTGGCATGGGTTTTTCTCAATTAAAAATTATCCTTTGCTGTGATAAATTGTTTTGTTTTGTTTTTTGTTTTTCTTCAGGCCTTTTACATTCAGATCAAGGTAAAAATTTTATTAAGATCTTATAATATTAAAAAATTGAAACAATTGTCTTCTTATATTTTAATGTAACTATACACTGATCATAATATGACTGTATGGCCAATAACTCAACTAACATTGGTTTAGGCACACAGGCCTTTGTTCAGTGTGATAAATTTTCAGTTTCACACCCCTCATCCACACCCTGCTGACCAGAAACCCCCCACTCCCATCATGGACCCAAATCCTCCAGCTCTTTGGGGCCACCCATTTCTTAGTTATTCATATAAATGACTCATGTTCCCGCCCCACATAAAATGCCAAAAATCCATGTCCTCCTCATGATTCCTGGGGATACTAACCAAGCTCAGATTCACACTGTTCCCTAAATGTCTATTCTTAATTAATTCCATATCCTCCCTCTCTTATCATTTTGCCCCTCTGATCCTGCTTATCTCTTCCCCCTTATTCCTTTACTTTACTCCCATGCCCCCCACCATAGCCCACCATTTTAATGTAATTTAACGTGCATGTCATTTTGTTTGGATGCCTTCTCCAATGTGCATTATTATTTTGTGAACATACATTTTTAATTCACACAGCATTGTGTTGTGGGTCTCGTGTTTCCTTTTCCCCTTTTCAAAAACATTACACTTTAAAGATCTGTCCACATCGTTATGTGTTCATCTAGTCCATTCCTCTAACTGCTGCATAAAATACTCTGCTCACCGTCCCCAATGTACTCTCTCCATTTTCTCAGCTGCAGACTCTCAGCCCACAAATGCACTGTGATGACTATCTATCTTCTCCTTAAGGATGTGGGGATGGGATTTCTCTGGGATATGTCACTGGGCAAGGGAGTGATGAGTCTTGGGGTATGCATCTCCTAATTGACCACCAGTGCCTGAATGTTCTTTGGCAGAGCTGTCATGTACCAGTCTTCACTTCCATCAGTACTGCCTGCAGGTTCCCCTCACCTCACCAACACCTAGCATTATTCAGCTTTCTAACTTTACTGGTCTCCTACAATCAAGAGACAGCATTGTTCATTAACTTGTAGTTCGATAATAACTGATGATTTTGATTACAGATTCATGTGCATACTAGCTTTCTGAGCTTCCTCCACCTTTTCTTTCCTCTTACCAGTTCCTGTCGTTTACCAGTTCACATCCTATGGTTAACTTCAGATTTCTTTCATTGCAGACTTCTTTCTTATTGATTTGGAAGGGTTTCCATTATATTCTAACTATTATTCCATTGTCACTTTTAGACATTACAAGTACTTTCTTCTGTTCTCTCATCTATCTATTAACTCCATCCATGGTGAGATTTGTTGAGTAGAAATCCTTAATTTTTATATAACCAAAGACATCAATTATTTTCTTATAGTTTTTGCTTTTGAAGCTCTGGGATGCTCTCTTAATACCCTGGACTTTCCCTGTTTTTCTTTGTTGAGCATTTAATGTGATTATTTGTGTTTTCTCTGATCCATGGTATATTTTTGTAATGCTTCTGAAAAAAGTCTCTCACACCCCAGAAATCAAGTTAGGTATGTGGTATAACAGACACATGTACGCCTGTCCCTAAGACAATTCAGGAAATCCAGAAACAAGATTCAGGACTGGTGCATCAAAGTCACATTTCGTTTCTGGGCTATGCTGACCCCAGGCACACCCTCGTCAACATGATGATGGGACTCTGCCTTTGGGTCCCAGGCCAAAGAAATCCCAATCCTGTCCACTGAAACGTTCTAGAACAGCAGAGTGGAGATGGGAGCATCCTGTATAACTTCAGGGAAAAGTCTAAGAAAGAAAAGGAATCTTTGCTTTTTCTTTGACTTTTGCATCCCAGATGCCTAAGGCTAGCGGTACCTCTTCCTGAAACCAAAAAGACATCTTTGTGGGCACCACCCTGGGAAAGATGCATTATAGGGTACCATGGAGAGGAGCCTTTTAATGACAGCTCAGGGCTCTGTTGGTCTGTGCCATTGACTGCTTCTGTCCTTATGTAAAGAGCTTATGAGTGCAGAGAGTTGAGAGAGAAGGTCTTCTTCTCTGTCCTGTGCATTTTGTCTTCTCTAAATACAGAAACGTGCAGTAGCATGAGTCCCATCACACTCACACCAACAGACATGTCCATCTGTACCAGCAAGTACTTCTACAGGGTTCCTATTGCGTCTTCAAAATTACCCAGCTATAGAAAGCAGATCAGATGGTATGCTCTGGGGGTTTGTTCAGTTCTTTTAAAAGGGAGGACAGATTTTTAAGACAAAACTATTGTCAAAGCTTAAATTATCTTAATGTTTTAATTTTCCCTATAAATATAACTTTAAACATTGGATTTTTTTTGTTTGTTTTAGAACAAAAAGAGATTTTGACTCCTGATATGGATGCAGGTAAGTTAACATTATGTTTTTTTTATTGGTGGTTCACTGGTTCCACTGTGCATCTTAATATCATGTGTATGTATATAGGTATAGATAGATAGATAATGTGTATATTACATGTATAATTTATTCAAGCAACAATTAACTTTGATATATATTTTTATTAGCATATATTTTTAGTTTTTTTAATCTCTCCTTCTTTCTTGAAGAAAGAAAACAGATAAAGTCCTTATTGCCTAAAATATCCTGTGGGGTCAAAAGAAACATGCACAGTCGAAGGAAACGAGTGGTTGGAGGAAAGCCAGCACAAGTGGTGAGCCTGCCCTGTGTGACAAGCCACATTTACTTTCCAGGAACAGCTCAACTCAGAATAAAACAGGAGATGATGTGATTGCAAGAGACTGGGAGACTTACAGTGGGAAGATCTTAGGGCTGCCTGTTTGCACTGTCTGGTAGAATGGCAGTGACCACACAAATGTCTTTTACAGGGAGACTTCCCATGGCAGGTGGCCATTAAGGATGCAGAAAATATCAACTGTGGGGGGATTTATATTGGTGGCTGTTGGATTCTGACTGCTGCACACTGTGTCAGGTAAAAAAAAGTCTTTAGTATGTTTTAGATTTCCTGAAACAAGGAAAACAAATAATAGATTGTGGTAGATGATAAATAAAAGCATATCTGAGAAGTCATTAAGTCTCACTTTATGACCAGGACTCTAGAAGCCGGTGCCTTCGAATGTACTGTGTTATCCACAGACCAAATTGCGGATTCCACTGGCAAGGGCAGGTTGAGAACACAGGTACCAATTCCTTCACGTGGCTTGTTTACCTGGTGCCAGAACTAAAGTGTTTGCCAGAGTTTATGACTGAGTGTTTATAAGGGGGAACACTAACCTGATATTTTCTCTGGTCTCACCTCAACAAACATGTTTCAAGGACTATCTTTACTCCAAAAACAAATAATTTTTTCAAGTCTATGTGCCCTTAAATGTACTTGCTGTGTGTCCTAGGTGATGAAGGAAACATCCAAAGCTGGATGATAATTATCTCACACAGGACTCCAGCACTGGCTGGAGTCTGGATAAATTGCTTATGTGGGTCCATGACTGAAAGCTACTGGGAAGGCAAAGACACCACACTGCCCCATGGAAGGGCCCCATTTATGTTGCACTTTGCCGTTTGGAAGTTCCCTGGAGTGCAGCAGGTTCTGGCCAGTGGCTCTGAGTCCCTGAAGAGCCAGCCTGCAGAGGAGTTGGAGGAGACCTGTCTGCTGAAGGCCAAGTCACATTATTTCCCTCCTTGATAGGATTTTGAAATTCTCACATCAGAGCTGGCAGAGTGGCTCAAGTGGTAGAGCACCTGCCTAGCAAGTGTGACGCCCTAAGTTCAAACCCCAGTACCACAAAAAAAGGAAAAGAAAAAAATACTCAGGTCAGAGAAGTGGGGTGGGTATAATATGACTTCAGTATTAACATGTGACAATATGTCTCATAATTTCCCATAAATGGGAAATACAAGTTTGATGCAGATCTAAGAAGCCATCTGGCTATATTAGTTTGCTAGCACTGCCATAACAAAATACAAGAGACTGAGTTGCTTTAAAAAACAGAGATTTCTTTTGTCACAGTTCTGGAAGTGTCAACAGGGCTGGTTTCTCCTGAGACAATTCCCGTTGGTTTGTAGTGCCTTGTGTCACTGTGTCCTTAGGTGGCCTTTCCTTTGTACACATGCATCCCTGACATTTCTCTCTCTCCCTATGAAGATACCAGCCTTGCTGGATTAAGACCCCATGCTTATAACCTTATTTAGCTTTGAATGACTCCTTAAAAACTCTATCTCCAAATATAATCTCATTGGGGTTTAGGGTATCAATGTATAGGACAGACAAAATTCAGTCCATAATGATGGCTGTATTGCAATCCCAAAAGATTTTAATTGATTAATAAATCAAGGTCAACTTGGAAAAGAGCAGGTCTTAGGGTTCTGGCCTCAATTCTGACCCTTAGAGCAAATGAAATATCATTTACAGAGTATTTCTTGTTTTATATTCTCAAAAGTTCTAAAGGGCAGTTCCATTTTGCATATAAGCAGGTTGAGACCAAGAAGTTACAGGACCTGGCTAAAGTTTCATGACTAATTAGTTAACAGAGGCAAGTTCAACATATTTGACTGCAACTAAGATGAATGCCTGCTTAGCAAATTAGGTGGCCCAAAGTTGGGAGGGATATTATATATGGGGAATGATTAGATATGTTCGGTGACACCTGGAAGAATCCTCATGGGTTGGAGCAGTTGGCCAATCTTCCACTTTAAAGACCCTTTTCTCTGGACTCTGTGATACCATACTCACTGGTTTTCTAGCACCTCTCTGACAACATGTTCTCTGCAGTCATAGGTTCATCCCTCTGGGCTTGAGCATTGTTGCGCCACTGAAATATTAGACTTCCTACATTTGATCTGGCTTCCCCTTCTCTTTTTATTCCTTCCTAAATTTATCTGTAGTTTAAAATACTCTGTGCAGACTAAATGATAGCCATAGCCTGGGCCTCTGTTGTAACCACTGACAGTCAATTGCCATACACACAAACTTACCTACATCACAAGTACACTGAATCCATGATGGTCAAGACCAATGCCATGGTATCCTCTTCCCTGATATGGTCCTCTCCCAGTGTTTCCTGTCTCAGCATACACCACCACTCACACAGAACAGAAATCTAAGAATCATATTTCACACCTTCAGCCGTCCCACAGCCCAGTCAATTTTCACCAACTCTAGATGCATTTTTAATTTCTTTCTTTTTTTCTTTCTTTCACTGCTGAGAATTGAACTCAGGGCTTTGACCACTCTACCACTTGGACCATGCTTCCAGTTCTTTTGCTTTTAGATTGTTTTTCAAATCAGGTCTTGTACTTTTGCCCTAGACAGCCTTGGACTTGGATTGTGGACCATGATCCACCTACCTCTACCTCCAGAATAGCTGGGATTACAGGTGTGAATCACCAAGCCATTTTTAATTTCTAATCATTCAATTCTCAAAACTTCTCTCCTCACATTACTCTGTTTTCACTTCTCTGAATTATATGTATTGCCTTACCTACACTCACTCTGTCTACCCACTGCCCCACCCATCTGTTCTCTACTGTGCAGAGTAAAATTTCCATACCTGGTTTTAACTGGCCACTTTTGATCACTGGCCACTTAAAATTCAATGGCTTTGAAGTCCTCGGAGGATAAAAATCTAAGCAAAACCTCCAACGTGGTCCATTAGGCCCCATGTGACCTGTTCCCTGCCTACCTTTGCTGATCTCATGTTGCACACAGCACCACCTCCTGCTCTCTGGTCCACCCACTCCAGACTTCTTTGAGCTACTCAGGAGCAAGCTCTTGCTCCTTCCTGCAAAGGGACCGTCATTTATTGTTTCCTCTGCCCGAAATGATCTCCCACGCTGTTTTTACCTAGCTACTGCTACTCTTTACTCAGATCTCAGCCTTTTCTTCCTTCCCTGACTCCCTTAAATCAAAGCCCTCTGGTAAGTTCTTAAAATCCATGTGCAGTCCATTCTTCTCACTTTTTGTAGTAGAATATGTGTCTTCATCGGCTCATCCACTTAACACTGCATCTTTCTATAGATGTTGAACTCCACTGCAGCAAGGGCGACTTCTGATTTTTCTCATTTCTGTGTCCCAGTGCCTCATACATATTTATGTAGTAGATACACATGAATGATTTGCTGAGTAAATTGAATGAATAAACAGGGTTAACGTTCAAGGAATATCCAGGACTTCTGATCCTGTAATATAACCAAAATTAGTATGGAAGACAGCATTCCCTCTACACTAAATGCAAATAAAAACATCCAACATCTCATCAGTTTCCAGGATGTCACTGTTTAACTACAGTGTGACTACTACTACCTGAATCATTGTTAAAGAAGGATAAATTCTGTTCAGTTTATATTGTTTGTAAAAAGCAGAAGATATTAAAAATAAATAAATAAAGCAGAACTGGGCGCCGGTGGCTCAACCTGTAATCCTAGCTATTCAAAAGGTAGAGATTAGGACTGCCATTTGAAGCCAGCCCTGGCAAATAGTTCATGAGACCCTATCTTGAAAAACCCATAACAAAAAAGGGCTGGTGAAGTGGCTCAAGGTGTAGACCACTGTGTTCAAACCCTAGTACCACAAAAAAAAAAGTGGAAAGTATATACATACATTTTTTAAAAGATTTCCATTAAATTACTTAAGTTTTATTGCCTACAGAAAATCCATTTTATGAAATACTTGATTGTTTAGAAGCATTAGACTATAAAATCACAGGAACAGTGAGGAAAGTATTCATGTCTTCCTTTACCACTTACCTTATTATTCCCTAAGTAAATTTAATACCATTGTTTCATGACAGCAAGGATTAAAAAAAAATCTGGGAAAAAATGAAAAAGATCTTTTAAAAGGGAGACCATAATGACAAAAGGTGAGAATTCAGTATCTATATCTTTTCTCACTGTATTTTGTTTTCTTTTTCCTTTCTCTTATAGACGCAGTAGAGTTCACCATTACCAAATATGGACAGCATTACTAGATTGGATAAAACCTAATACAGAGGTAATGGTTGAAAATGTAAAACAAGTTATTATCCATGAAAATTACAACGGATCCACCTACCAAAATGACATTGCTTTGATGGAAATGAAAAAAGTTTCAGGCCAAAAAGAATGTCGTACCTCTAATTCCGTCTCTGCCTGTGTCCCCTGGTCTCCATATCTGTTCCAACCTAATGAGAGATGCATCATTTCTGGCTGGGGTCGAGAAAAAGGTATTTGTTTTATAATTTGTTAATCATCATCCAGGGGTTGGAGATGAATGGGAATAGAAATGCATGGGAGTGAATCTTCTAGAACTCAGAGAGAAACAGGATCATATCCAGAACATATCCAGAAGAGTGAGCATCCAGCAGGGCTGGCTGCATAGGCCTGTGACCTGTGCAGTTTCCCAGCACCCATGATCAGAATGCCCCAAGCTTGATTTACCACTCTGCTTGTCACCATCATGAAACTGTTAATAATTGTTGAAGACATCCCATCCCTGATTTCCATTTTTCACTGGGTCCTGCAAATGGTGCAGCCAGTCCTTATCCAGAATTTCATAGGACACTTCTACTTTGTGATCCTGAACATTCACCAAGGAAAAATAGAGTCACAGGGAGTCACACAGTGTGGACTTTCTGGACTTGTTGAAGAGATATGAATAGAATATTAGAAGGTGGAAAGTTGGAGTGGAGTAGTGGTCATAGGAGACTGGGAAAGGCAGGGAAAGGACAAAAATAGTTCAGTAAGGGGCACCAAACACAGGCAGAAGGGAAGAAGTACTTCTGATTCTGTAGCACAGAAGGATAACCATATGTAGAAACAATCTATGATATATTTCAAAATAACTGTTAGAAATGTCGTTCCCAAATGACGATCAAAGAAACACTCAGGAGTCACTGAGCAAGGCAAAAAGAAAAGTTTTACTTTGCAGAAGGGTGCAGCCACAGACCATAGTCTGATAGGCAGAACACACAGAGCGGGGAGTCAGCTCAGTTTTTCTCTCTCTGCCCCTCAACCTGATTGACGGGTTTGGGTTCACAATCTTTGAGACTGGTTACTTAGAAAAGGGGCTCATGGGGTTAAGGGGATCTTGAAGCTGGCAGAAAAAGAAAATATTTTGGGCAATATTCATCTGTAAGCAAGCAGTTTGAGATTAGGACATCTGGGGGATAAACAGTTCTTTGTTTGACTGCAAGACTCTTGCAAGGTCCAGCAACATTTCACAAAGCATGTAGGCAGCAATTCAGGGAGGTTAGCTGCCATCTACACAGTGATAGTTTTACATTAACTCCTTTGACAGCAAAGACCTAACTTTAGTTGATTCTCACAATAGCTAGAAGAATACAAAATTCACAACATATAAAAGTAAAGTTCAAAGGACGGAAATGCTCATTATCCTGATTTGATTATTACACGTCTAAGCATGTATCAAATTGCCATAATGTACTCCATGAAGATGGGCAATTATGTTGGGTAATTGTCTATAATCCCAGCACTCAGGAGGCAGAGCCAGGACTGGTGGTTCAAGGACAAGCCTGGCATTCATGAGCAAGACAGCCTGTCTCATAAAAACAAACAGAATGTGGAAGCAGCATTAACGCGCGAAGGCTATGAGAAACTTGACATAAGCACACCTGTGGTCAAAATGATGAGCAGCTGAGTTTGGCATGGCCCTCAGAGGTAGATAGGGAAATGAAGCAAAATGCAGCACAAGCTCTTTTCTAAGATTTACATTCAGAGCCGGAGCATTGTTTCTCTTGTTACAAGTAAAGGCCCTCCCAGGACTTGTTTGCTCCACCTCCTGTTCTACACTCTATATAAAAGACTCAGGAAGGAGGACAGAGGTTGATTGATTGGCTGGCTGGCTGTTTGTGAGGGGCAGAAGCTATTGCCCTGGCGGCTTGTGAGGGGACTGCTGCTACTGCCAAGGTTGGCTGCCTGCGAGGCTGCTGATCCGTGGTCGCTGCTGTTTGGCCAGCCTGCTGGCAAAGGGGTAGTGCAGTGGGCTGC